GTCACGCACAGCGCGTCACGGACGTGGCAGGCCGGCTTCTTGCCACTGCCGAGTGCGTCCCGTCGCGCGTGTCGGCTGCGGGCCACGCGTGTCGACGTCCCGCACGGTCTCTTGCGCGTCGGCCCTCGCGCCGGGGCGAGCGACAGGAACAGAACGCTGACGACGTGCTTGTGTCTTATCTCGTGTCAGCTGACCCGCATGCTTCGCGCCCGGCTCGCGCTCGTGGGCTTCAAGGTACACCACAACCTCGAAGCTCTCCCCATCGACGCCCTGGAGCGCGAATTCGCCACCAAGTTCGGCGCGGACGCGTCGGGCACCGCCTCGGGCTCGCTCAAGCGCCGTGCTTCCGGCATGTCCCCTGCCCTCGCGCAGCAGGTCTCCTCCATGGGTCCGCCCCAGTCCCCGTCCCTCTACACCTCCATGCTCGCGTCCCCGCCGCCTGCGAAACGCGCCAGACACGCACAGCCGAACGCGCTGCTACCACCACCGCGCGTCTCACCCCGCGGTTCAACGCGCGCGCCAGCGAGATCTCCCAGGAACATGCCGGCACAACGCGCCTCTCAGCGCGCGGTCCAGAAGGATTCTCCGCACGACGCTAACGCGTCTACTGAGCCGGATGCGATCAGCGCGGCGGCCACCCTCACTTCGCTGCTGCTCACTTCCAGGAGCCCGAGATCTAACCCGGTCTCGCGCACTTCCTCCATCGCATCCTCGTCTCAGGCCACGGCCGCAGCGACGTACCCAAGCTCCTCGCAAGGGACATTGCTCGACGATCCCTTACCCCTGTCTCCGCACAAGCGCACAAACACGCCGCCCAAGCGTAAGGCCGAGGAGAACGTCGAGGCTGCGGAACTCATGCTGTTCCTCGCCACCTCACCCTCCCCCGCACAGACTCACTCCAAGGCGGCGACCAGCAAGTCTCTCAGCGGCGTCGGACGCGTCCTGTTTCCGACTTCCAAGTCCACGGGTACATCCAATTCGGCCCAATCCGAGTCTAAGCCTCCAGATGCATCCGCGTCGCGCCAGGAGCAGTCGCCTCCGCCGGCATCTGGGTCCTTCTCGCCCGCCAGGACGCCTTCTCACCCGTCATCTTCGCATGCGTTGTTGACTCCCAAGTCTGCTAGCTTCAACATCAACGACTTCATCAACGTGTCTCCATCGCCTTCTGCGCCACCGCCGTCCTCGTTCTTCTCGTCCGTCAACTCTGGTGGCTATCGTCCCGGCATGGCCGCGACCGGTCGGCGGCTGTTCGAGGAAGAGACGGGCAGTGCGGCCTCCCAGCGACGCACGATGTTCGGCGATGAACCAACTAGTCTCGCCGCCGGTATCGACCTCGTCAATGCTGCATAAGCATTGTGAGCGCACCTGCGATGCTGGCTTCATTGCGGTGCGCGCGATGTCGATCGGTCTGTCCTGGAATCTTTCACACCTCATCCATCCATCCACCCATCCATCCATCCACCGTATCATCGCCTTGACTTATCAATCGGACTGTCTGTGAGAAACTGACCCGCTTGCCTGCCTGCCCCTACAAATCAACCTGCTCACTCCCAACGGAGTTCTTGGTTTGTACATCCGTCGTTTCATTATTTCGCTGCCATGTTTTCCTTCTTGCTCTCGTGTACAACTCTTACCCGTCCTCGCTGCGAACGTGCGGCGCCATTTACCCCTCTCACCCATGACTCGCTGTGTTCTGCCTCACGACACGGCACGACTCGTCACGTTTCATCACGTAAATGGGTCTCATCGTCTCTGTCCTCTGCTCCGGCTCTTGCTCTTTTTTGTACGCGTCTCTCGTCTCCCGTCTCGCCGAACTCTGTGTAACAGTGGATCGATTCGCATCGCACGTATATATACACACAATGCACTCAATCCCAAAACACGGCACCGGACATGAGACGGCGTCCGGTGCGCACGACAGACGCGGCCAGTACATGACCAGAGGAGTCGAAACGCGCGCCAACCTCGACCAGACCGCCCGGGTGTCGGATTCTGACAAACCCCGTGTCGCGCGTGTGGATGTGGCGCGCGACGATGGTGCCGGGCGTGCTACCGGCCACGCCGACGCAGAGCCCGAGGGTCATCGGCACCGCCTTGTGTGGAACGCCCATGGACAGCGCGCGAACGTACACATCGGCGTCCTCGTCTCGGTCTCCCGTACGCCGTGGGGCACTGATAATAGCAACTTTGGGTTGGGCTTGGGCTGACGGATCCAGTCCCATGAGGCGCGCGCCTTCCTGGCGGATTTGCTCGAGACAGGACATCAACTCCGAGTTGCTCTCGAGGTCCACATCCAGAGCTGTGAGTTCTTCTCCGCGCGCGGATTGGAACAGGGCAGGCGATGCTTCCATATCGACCAGGACCGTCGGATTCGTGCAGTCCATTAGCGTCACAGTAACTTCGATGCCATTCGAGAGCTTCACGCGCTCAGACGCGTGCGTCGTAGGCAGTAGAGTTCCAGCTGGTGCGCTTGTCCCCGCGGGAGATACGAACTCTAGGACGATGCGGGATGCGCTCCCCGAAACGCCTGCGACAGTGGTCTCTTCGAGGTTCAAAACAGGCTCGAGCGTGTTACGCGATACGGGAAAGGTTGTGTCGACGCGTTTTCTCGTGTTCGTGTTCCAAAGTCGTACGCGGGCAAGAGCAAACGGCGAAGAGGGACCGTACGATCCTCCGTCCTCGACGAGTTCTGGCTTGCAGATGCCTTCGTCGACAGCAAACACGCCAGCAATGCTAGAGAGGTTTCCTAAAAGACGTGGACCATAAGATGCTTGCGCCTTGACTCGCGATTACGCACCACAGTTCCCCGTGTAGTCGACGACGACGTCGCGGACACCAATCTGCGCAAAAGTGTACTCTGCGTCGACTTCGACCTCTGCCGTCTTTGGCGGCCCTACGACCATGACTTTCGACAGACTGGACACACCGCCGCCCATGCCGTTCAGCTGTCGGCCATACGCAGCGTCAGGTGAGCCCATAAGGCTCAAGAAGACTGGCGCCCAGGCATTGCGGTCGTCTGGCAAGTGCTTGTGGTTTATGAAAACGCCTTTGGACGTGCCGCCGCGTAGGTATGTTGCGGGAAGCGGGTTTGGGATCGCACTGCTCATCCTGCGCGCGAGCAGTCTGCTGATTGCGGACATGACATGCAGCTGGAATGTTGCCCGCGCTGTGGCACGGGAACAGGTTCCGCAACGAGCCGGTGTACATGCGGCCGATGCCTGTTTCGCGCTTCCCCACAGTCTGTGCTTCTTCTCTCGTCACACATCCTCTTCTCAGCCTATGGTAGCATCCGTCAGGGCGGTGCCTGGTATGTCACCGCATTTCAAACTTCCGGGTTGAGTCTGTGCTATGGTACATTTGCGTTCCTGTGCGGAGCGCGATATCTTCAGATTGCCTCGACCTTATGCTCAGTTCCGCGACTCTCGCGCCACGTCTCTGGTCCCTGTCTTCTGCATCAAACAAAATACACTGACAATAGCATACTGCGTACCGCACGGTTCGCGATCCTTTGGTTTTTGATTCGGCGCGTAAACCACTCTTTCGCAGTCGCGCCAGTGCTAAAGCGCCCTGGGAGTGCGCTGCCGACTGCTGCCGCGATAAGCGGACTGTCGTTTACCAGCGGCTCGAGTAGCTGAGAATATCCAGGACGTGTGAAGAATACGAGGGACCATCTCTCAAACGCTGCTTGAGCTTTGGGGGGAGGACTGTGGAGTCACATGCTCAGCGAAGACGGTACACAGGACTCGCCATCGCGACTCACACAACGCGGTGAAGGTTTGATCGCAGAATACCTCCACTGAAGATAGAAAGGGCATCGCCGACGTTGCAGATGGCATGCCCAGGGATGGGCTAGAGATGTAGTACCGCATCAAGCCAATCCATCACCCAACATCGTCCAAGTGTTCTTACCTTGACGTACTTCCATGCTTCGGTACCGGGCGGGAGTACTTGAAGTCCGCCGAGGAGCTTGTGATGTAAGAAGCTCTGCAAGAGAAATCAGTCTGCGGTGCACTACGAGTGCAAGATGGATTTCTGACCAGAGACCCGAAGTCAGTATGCGCTCCGATCGCTGCCTTGTCTTGTGAGATAGTCTGAGAAGGCGGCGTCTTGATGCAACGCGTCTCGCTACCACTCGATTCGTCCAGTGCGTGGAGACGTAGAAGAGTTCCAGCCGGGAGACCAAGGCGATCGTTGAATGCCGAGAGAAGAGTGTTGTTCACTTCGATGGACTTGCGGACAAAGGGGGCGACGGTGGAAACCATCCTCTCCCTCACAGTCGATGGGTACTGGCGATGGACTACTGAGGGGTAGGCCAGAGCGTCGTCCTTCGCCACGTTGATGAACTCGACGAAGTCCAGGGATCCGTACTCATCTGTGGCATTCGCACCAGCGGCTTTGTAGCCGAAAGAGTTTCCATCGTTTCCCTGCTCGTACGCCATTTTCTCCTCGAGGGGTAACTGCATCGTCGCGTCGCCCATCTCAAACATTGCGGAAACCTCTTCGTCGGCTCCATGGTTTTTGAGGCTTTAGGGAGCTTGTCAGCAACGAGGTCCCCGTCTCAACGCACTCGTAAAACGCACTACCAGAAGCCGAGTTGCGTAGCGGCCTGCCATAGCCGCCCAATCTCTGCTTCATTGCCGGCCTCTACGAGTGCATAGTCAATGACGAGCAGTGGGACGGTGGGCACATCGTCAGGAAACTGCGGAACAGTCGCGGCCGGCATGGTAAGATGCAGCTGCAGCAAGCTGTTGGGGGAGCAGTGAGGCGACTGCGGGAGAACGTGTTCTCCCGACTGCAGCTGACGCCAACATGTCATCTGCGGCAGGTTGCTTCCGCGCAGCTTCCATGCCATGATGGGTGATGACCATGTAATCAAATGAATCGTGACTGAGAGGAATGCGCGGGCCTATTAGACTGCCCTGTATAGAGTAGACCGCATAAGTGATGATGAGGATAGGCAGTCGGAGCGTTATAAAGCCAGCTTCGGGTTCCTTTTCGTGGGTTCGATGGTGTAGTTGGTTATCACGTTCGTCTCACATTGTGTGCACGAGAGGTCTCCGGTTCGAGCCCGGGTTGAACCAGCTTTTTCTTCACTCCTCGTGATCACCATTAATGGAAGGGGGTTGAAAGCGACTATGTGGTGGCTTCGCCTGAGTAGGCGCGGGTGGTATGAATACCCGGTCCATATGTCCAAAGCAATAAATTCTTTTATCCACCATCCTCATAGGAAGGAGAAATTTACAGCAAGCCCCAACTATTTCGCTCAGCTCAGCTAATTCAGCTGCTGAACCGGTCGGTTCGCGCCGCTCGTTTCGTTTCCGCCACCATGGCTTCAGCTTCGGTAATCGCTCTCGTCGACCGCGTCGTACGCGCAAACCACGAAGTAGTGCGTTCAACTCGTACACATGCATCCCGAACCTCACCAGCGATAGGTTACATACCGTGCTGTGGCGCGGGACCTCAAGATATCTGCTCGCGACGCGCAAAAGTACGCGTTCTGACGCGTTAGACGCGCGTATATATACTGATACTGGTATTAGCGAGCTGCAGGCATACATTGACGCGTCGCAGGGGGCTGTATGGGCCACATTTGTGGTGACAGGCGACGACTCAAACGGGGGTCGCCGCATCCTGCTTGTACCGCAGGATTCTCTTGATGGTGCGTCGATTATGTGATACTCAGACATGTACTGATCTATCAAAGCTACGAAGGCTCAATTTGAGACCGTTGCGTCTATACAAGTCTACAGCCTCTCGCCGGCGTCGGTCAAGGCAAGCGACTACCTCCCTATTCTCCGTGTCCCAAGCTCACACTCTGGCAGGATGCCTCATTCATATCACTCGCTGCACAGCGCGTCCGCGCGAGTGAAGCCAAGACCAAGACAGTGCGTGGCTTCCCGTGTACCGACTTGTGCGCACCTGACGTGTACGCAGGCGACTCTTCGTCCCGCCAATGCTGCACCTGTAACCAAGAAGCCTGCACCAGCAGCAAAACCTACCGAAGAGCAAAAGGCAAAACCGCGTGGGGTCCTCGACTTCAGCAAGGCGAAGCCGAAAGCTGCACCCGCGCCCGCGCCCGCGCCTGCCAAACCAGCGCCCGCGCCCGCACCGGCAAAGAAGGCTGAGGCAAAGCCTCCTGCCGCCATGGCGCAGCCAGCGCAGGCGAAGGTGAAGACCGAGCCGACAGCAGAGCCGAAGAAAGTTCAGCCGCAGCCATCAACCAGTCGCCTGCCTAAGGAGGAGGAAGAGGAGGAGGAGGAAGAGGAAGAGAAACCTGTCGTCGCGAGCAGGAAACGCAAGATGGTGATTGACGATGAAGAGGAGGAAGAGGAAGAAGCCCCGAGCAAGCCAGCCGCGAGAGGCAAGCCCGCTCAACGCAGGATCCAGGCGAGCGACGATGAAATGGATGTGGACGAGACCGAGTCAGGTACGTCTCAGGTCCTGCTACCGATCGCGTTCTCACATCTAATTGCAGAACCCGTCGATATATACGAAGACATGGAACCCGACGTCAAAGCGAAGCGCAAGAAGGGCAAAGGAGGCGTTCCGATGGGTAGTAACGGCCGTCCGAAGAAGCGGGTCATGAAGGAGCGCACCATTACAGACAAGAAGGGCTTCGAAGGTACATTCTTCCGTTTCAACCTCACACCTGCTCACACCGAGCTGCAGGCATTGAAGATTATTCGGAGTACGAGACGGACAACGATCCACCAGAGGCAGAGAAACCGAAGGCGACGAAGGCGAAGAAGACCGCTGCTGCTCCCAAACCCAAGCCTGAAGCCAAGAAGACATCCGCGAAACCTGGGCAGCAGAAGATGACAAACTTCTTTGGCAAGAACAAGAAGTAAAGCTCACCCGTGTATTGTATCGTTGTATTTTGTACTGGAATGGTTTGACTGCAGGCTTGCGGAGATCTCCGTTATCTAATCACTGTCACTCTGGCGCAGACGTTCTTGCGAAAGATGCAGCACCTCGTGCAGCGTGTGCGCGGGTCGAACACGTTCGAGCTCGCGTATACCGGGCGCGACTGGAAGCCTCAGAGCTCGCGCGTGCTTGTGTTCGACTCATCTTTCAACCCGCCGACGAACGCGCACGCTGCGCTGGCACGCGCGCCGCTCAACGTAGCAGGTGGAAGCGCAGATACAACGCTACTGCTTCTCTCCGTGACGAATGCGGACAAGGCTCCCAAGCCTGGTCAGGCCGTTGTTTCTGAATGAAATCCGAGAGTTTACGCGGTTCTGCAGGGGACGCAACGCCGGAGCAGCGATTGGAGATGATGCAGCTCATGGCGCAGGAGCTCGGTGAAGATGTTGCTGTTGCTGCCATCGACGCGCCGACGTTTGTGGGTAAAGCACGCGCCTTGCGGTCCCTTGGAGCGGCCCAGCTCGCGTTCTCCCTCGGTGCCGACACGCTTACACGGCTGGTCAAACCCTCGTACTACGGCTCTGAAGAGGCAATGCACAAAGCATTGCGTGCATTCTTCAACGACGACAGCGCACGCGTCGTCTGCGCACACCGCGATGCCGAACCTGTCCCCAACGCCGCGCAAGAATACATAGATGCCGGCAGCGTCGCGCTCGTGAACCTTGGCGAGCGTGCGGAGGGCGTCAGCTCAAGCGCAGTGCGCGCAAAGATCGCGCAGGGAGACGAGTCGTGGAGGGAGATGGTTTCTTCTTCGATTGTGCGATACATACTGCAGCACGGGCTCTACGCCCCAGCGCCATAAGACGGGACTAAGAGGAGACTGTAGAGAATGAAAAGGAGATAAGGAGACTTGTGGACAGCAGAGCGTAGCGTGAGTTTCATCTTGGTATCATAGGGACGAGGTAAAGCAAGGAATGGAACGGAACGTGAGGGACTGGAACAGGCAAACAGGAAAGACGTGAAAGGCAATGAACAGCAGGAGACCCAGAGGCACGAGAGACGAGAGAAGGAGAGCAAGAAATGGGGACGCCGAGAACATTAAGCTTCGTCAGGGATCTCCGCGGCTTCATCGAGGGAAACGGGGATCTTGGTGTCGGACACGGCATCGTCGTCGGTAGGACGCTTGTAATCGGGTTGAAGAAGCGCGACTAAGTCTGCGACCTCGGCGCCGTTGGCAGCAGGCTGAGCTTCCTCGACATCGACATCGGCCTCTGGCTCTGGCACTGTCACATCCTCCGCGTGATGCAAGTCGGACGAAGCGTCCTTGCTGTGGTCCTCGGACACGGCATCGTCGTGAACAGGTTCTTCGAGTTCAACTTCATCGTGCTCTGCCTCTGCCCCGACTGGCTCCTCAGGAGCAAGCTCTCCCTGTGCAACCTCTTCATCGTCAACGGGCTCCTCAGGTTCGACGCTTGGACGGAGTTTGGCAGGAAGGTCGAGATGGGTGACGTCCTCCTGCCCAATGAAGTCTTCGTCGTAGTTGTCGACGTCTTCTTCGTCGACATGGGATACTTCCTCAACATCTTCCTCGATGTGCTCCTCCTCAACATCTTCCTCCACAGCTTCTTCAACGTGCTCCGCAACGACGTCCTCCTGCTCTTCCACTGAAGCGCCTTCCTCAGCAGCAACGTCGTGAGAAACTCCTGCGACTTCCTCAGCAGCAGCCGTTGGTTCAGCAGACGATGCCGCAACTGCCGATCCAGCGCCGACTGCAGCGAGTCCAGCAGCTGTAGCAGCGACGGCGGCGGGCTTCGAAGTCGATGGCTTCTTCGCGGCTGGAGTAGCAGTCTTTGCCTTAGCAGCTTCTTCTGCCTTCTTCTTCGCCGCTGGTGTTGTCGTTGCAGCGACGCGCTTCACCGGTGTGGTCGTCTTCGGCGGCGCACCGCCGCGTTTGGGGACAGGCACGGGTTCACGTGCGCGTAAGAGCGACGCAGCAGTCGGCTGGGAGAGACGGTCGCTGGCGTGGGGCGTCGTAGGCTGGCGCGTCGCTGTCTTCTTGCCCGGAGTAGCAGCCTGGGCAGCGCGCGATTTGGCGAGGGACGACGCGGTTGGGACGGCAGCAGCCGGGGTCTTCGGACGAGTCGTGGAGGGAGTCTTGGGACGCTGGGTGGCCGCTGCTGTCTTGGGCGCAGACGGCGTCGCGGGCTTGTTTGCGCCTGCGCGTGATGCGCTACGTGGCGCGGCGGACGCAACGGAGCCGCCGGTGTGCTGAGGCTTCAGAGGCGTAGCAGCATACGACGACGGAGGAGCACGCGCTGGGGTAGCAGCGGGCTTTGTCGTCTTAGCAGCCGCCGTGGCTGGGGGCGACTTGGCCGCGGACGCGGAGCGCGCAGTGCTGCCTGCTGCGGGAGATGCTTTCGCGGGCGTTGCAGGCGACTTGGCGGGCGTACTGGCCTTGGCTGGAGCTGGAGCTGGGGGAGACGCGGGCTGAGGAGGCGGCGGCGAAGCGATGGCCGAGCTTGTCGCTGGCGGCGGGCTGGTCGCTGATGGGGCTGGCGGCGAGACCGTGGAGACCGGCGGCCATTCGCGACGTTCGCGCTGTTCGCCGAGCTGGGCGTCTCTGTCGCGCGCGTACTCTGAGGAGACTGAGGATACGCGCGGGTTGAGCGGCGGCGAGTGGACCGACGACTTTTTGACCTGCTGCTCGAACCTGCCGATCAGATTCGCCACGCTCTGGCGCGGACGCTCGTCGGGCAGCGGCCTGTGGGTTAGATGTGAGCGAGCTCGCTGCGGACGACGGCGAGGACGCACATTGAGATTGCGGATGATGGGAGAGAGATCGGATACGGACTTGAACGGAGCCGCAATGGCGTCCAGTCCAGTCATCCCTTCCTTCCACCACACACAATGGCAGTCCGTGAGCACCACCAGTCTCCTCGTCGTCGCCCGCGCTGAGCTCACTCCCTGCGTCTCCAGGCGCGCAATTCGAAAACAGCAGCGACATTGGAGTCTTCTCCAAGCTCACAAACTCGTCCGTCCTTCTTCTGCTTTATATGCGCTCTCACTAATTTTCCCCCGCCAGTTACTGCCTCGTCGCGCTCGGCGGCAGCGCCAACTTCTCGTCCGTGTTCGAGAGCGAGCTCGGAGACGTGATCCCCATCGTGCACACCTCCATCGCCGGCACGCGCATCATCGGTCGCCTCACCGCGGGTCCGTC